GATAATCGGGTTTTCTGTCAGCTATGGTGTTGCCAGCTTGATGTGTAGCCAACTACATGTGTTAAAGTTTATGGTACATAAATTGCCAACGCCTCCATCGTATTGCATTAGTTGAATAAGTTAGTTGTAAAAAAGTTATTGTTTAGGTAATCTCAATATCGGAAGTGTGAAACTTAATGGCTAGAAGACGGCGCCGTTCTAATGGAGGAAAAGATGATAGCAGTGTTAAAGAAAATTCTGCGAAGAAAAGAGACGTCGGGAATTACAGCGTTGAAGCAGTCAAGGAGAAGTATCGTCTTATTACAGCAGGCTTGTTCTTACATATTTTAAATTTTATTTAGGTCTGCCCTATCAGAGCGTAATAACCCTTCTAGTGGCGACTCCGAAAAGTAAGTTTTCTCTCAAGTTAACCTTTAAAAAATATTCATTGTAGAAATGTGTTTAATTATTGGCTTTAATCAAAATGTATGCAAATACTTTCTCTCAAAATGTATTGATTACTTCCAGTGCAGCCATAACAAGTTCTATGGAACAAGAAACTTCATTGTGAGTTCTGTAGTTATCTCTAGCTTTATTCATGTAGATCTTTCTTGTTTAGAGCTGATTCACCCTCTACCGAGTTATGTTCACCAAATCAAAAAATCCCCGAGTCAACAAGGTCTGATTTAGCGGCTCGATGCTTTCAGCTGTCCACTTAGCAAGATTCCTGCTGGTTATGTATGATTTTCTTTTGGTTGTAGTTTATCATAAGTGACATTTAGTGATGATAATGATATGAAATGTGGACTACGCACTTCTCGAAAAAGTAGTCGATCAAAATGTGCCAGAAGTTCGGAGAAGAAAAACAGTAAAGCTGAGAAGCAGGAAATTGAGGATGTACCAGACAACACAAGGTAGTTGATTTTACCATACTCTTTCTCAAGTAAATTTGTTTTTCAAACTGGACAAACCGAACAAGAACCACCTTGTGCTTGCTTGGATATATGCAGAATTCCTCATCGAAACAATGGTTTAGAAAATGAGAGCGACCTAAGGTTGTGCTAAAAAAATATGGGAAGTAATCACAAATTAGTTCCTGGGGTGAAATACATTCGTCTGGCAGTACTATTGAGTTGTTCGTTTAGCGTATTTTTCTCCATTTCCGTGGTTTCCATGTTTTCTTTTTACTACTTAAAATATTGTTTTACAAATTTTTCATTGCCGTGGTTGTCAGCGATCACGTAAGTGAGGTCCACCCTGCTGTAACTCAAAATATCGAAGACAACAATGACGATGTTGTTTGTGATAGTCAGGAGGTCGTCGGGTCCAATCCTGCTGAGGTGCGACTTTGTACTCACTAATCCCCAGTTTTAGCGTAAGTGATGGTCATATGAGGTATGAGTTGCTCCCGTAATCTTGAGAATAATTAGCGGTAATTTTCATTATTCTTGAATTTTCCCCTAGTTGAGGAGGAGGGCGATGGAGGACTTATTATGGAACCAGAGGAAATACTGCACCTGTATGAGCGTCTCACGGGAGATATACGCAAACCTCCGGAAAAGTCAAAAGATCCTTTGAGAGATGGTTTGCTTTTGAACGTTATCTTTCGAGACAGTTTTCTTTCATCCTGAATGGGACTTAGAATATCGACAACTGTATTGCATTGGAACTTTATGCGAGAATTTAAGCAATATTATGTCCTCAAGGCTCTCATCAGGTTGGTCTTTTGCGAAATAGTGTCGAGTTATCCGCAGTAAGTAATTGTCTTTAAGCCCGGCTACTTCGCAGGCAGCGTTTAGAGTCGCTGAACCAGCTCAAAACATTGTCTTTACGACTTGAGGATTTGAATAGGACAAATTCGCCAATGGAAAAGTAGTGGGTCCATTTTTGTAATGAGGAAGTATTTTTCTCATACGACATCCTCTAGCCTTTCGTTTGATGACACCGCGCAACGCGATGCATTGGAGATAATGAACATTCGCTACGAAGAACTATGTGATGACATATTTGCTGTAAGTAAAATAATTTTTTTTTTGAATGTCAGACCTGAAACCAATTTCGAGCAAATATAGTCATCTAATTGTACGTTTTCTAAGGCTGATGATGAATTTTTGTTGATGTTCGAAAAAGAAGAAGTTGGAGTAAACAAAGAAGACCAAGTGCTTATTAAGCCTGGGCCATCTATTTGTATGGAAACTGCAGCAAATTATGTTGGTGTCTGCATGCAAAGTAAACTAACGGTACTTATATAACTGCTCTGA